TGTAAATAATACGATTCGTTTGACAACATCCTGTTAAGTTTGTGTTTTCATTATTTGTTGGTTTTCAGAAAACCCACAAAGAAACCCCGAGTTGTTCCTTTCTCTACTGCAGGTGTGCTCAAACTTTTTGTGTCCAGGGACCCCCTCCCTCATGTTTATTAAATTATGTTCCGCAGTTCATCGCTTTAATGCAATGGAACTATTTGTGCAACATAAATACTTTAAGACCTGCATTTTCATAGTGTAAATACAATTTTTATACTTCCAGTATAAGTAAGTTTCAACTTCCAAAAACTACAGTTTTGAGAAAATTAATAGAATCAAAAAAACACGTAAAATTTTCATCTATTCACTTAATGAACATAATAAATGTGTTGCCACGTCTTCAAAATGATTACAGAAAACTATTTTCACAAAACTGAACAGAATCATAGCTACAGTAGTCATATCAAGTAATATTTGTAAACCGATCGATGCTGGAATGCAAATAGAGGGGGGTTTGGGGGGGTCCTCCCCCAGAACATTTTGAATAAAGTAGATGTGATTGAGAACCACTCTAAAGTTTTCAGAGGTGAATTGTTGCAAATCACCACCACAAATGATTAATGGGAGGAAATAACCGTTAATAACTTGATGAATATTAACAAAAGTGTGCAGCCGTCCAACAAGAAAACAAAAGATGGTTTTAGTATTTAACTTCATTTATACGTTGTTGAGTTTTTACCTCAGTGTTTGGTCAAATTTTAACTATAGGTCTGACTCGACCTGATCAAAGTTACCTCTTCTCAGTTACCCCGAGGACTTTCTCTAACCTTATTAACCTTTATCTACTGTCACTGCGGAGCCATTTGAGCTCATTTTACTATGACTTTTATAAACAGCGTCTCTGACAACTTATCATGGAGAAACTGGTCTTGATGCTGGAAGGCGAGCTTTTACAACAACCATTAACTTTGATCCTCAAAGGGTCAATGAAAACAGATTTGTTGGGGTGAGAGTAGATTAAAAACTTAACAGGAAAGCTTATATTTCATACATTCATTCTAAATTGCAGAGTTAAATGAAATGAAGAAATTGGGTCGAAAATCGTTTCATATTCTCTAATTTTAGATGGTTTTAAATTATTTAAACTAATGTGCAAAGATCCAGAAATTTTAGGAAAAAAGTCAAGAGTTCTGACTTTTATTTTGTAATACTGACCTTAATCTAAGAGTTTTGAGAGGAGAAAAATGAATTCTGAAAAAATAAATACACGTTAAATAACAAGAAGTAAATAACTTACACATAAAAGTCATAATCCAAGTGAGCGCTGACATGATGCTAAAGTTTTACATATAATTTCCAGGTACAGTGCACGGTCTGCTCTGCGGGGTGCTGCCTGACTGTCAGTGTAGTTATGATTCAGTGGAAGGTGAGGACGAGGTCTGCAGTTAAAGAACCACCACCCACAGCATGAATTCCCCTCGTTCAGGCTTCATAGGTTTCGATTCTGCAGAGGAGCGTAAACGCGTTCAGGACCGGAAGTGGCTACAAAATAAAACGTGTTAGTTCCACATATTTTTTGTCACTATATGATTTTTGTCATTTTTATGTCTCTCGTCTGTAAATGAAACTTGTTGATTAGATTTTCACCTACAAACATTAGATACATTTTGATATATAGCAATAAATATGTTACAACTTTGTTGTTTTTACACGGACAAACACTTTTTATATTTAACATTTAAACGTCTCTTTCATTATAGGTTAGTTTTAAATAAATAAATAAATTGTCAGACTGAGCAAATCTCAGTTTGTATAGCAGCAGCACTTCTGTTTTCTGGTTATCTAAAGAGCAGAAGTAGATAAAAAAAAAACACATTTTTATATAAACATTGACTTGATGTGATATGTGTTGTAGGTCACTGTGACAAAATTACTTATTCGCAGTTACTCAGTTAAGTTTTGCTTCTTTTTTTTTACCTGAGCAAGGAAAAAATAATTTTTAGGACTGCAAAGTGTGGGAATTTACAGGTTCAGTCAGTGGCTGCACTTGTGCAAAAATATTAGTAGGACAAATATTAATTTCCTGAATATATGACAAATTGTGTTACATTTTTACTTAAAAAAATGGATATATGTTGCTTAATATTTAATTTATCTTGTTGTTTTTATGTTTTTTTTTTGTCTATAAAGTTTTTAAACTTTTTCTCCTCCCTGGATGTGTCTCATGCGAAACAGTCCAGTCTAATAAATCGCAGAAACGGGCACCTCCCACACCCAGTCGAGCTTTCTGAATTGGATTTCTAATTTGATTTGAAACAATAATTCTGCTATAATCCAGATTAACACAATTAAATGGGAGAAAGAAAAAAAAAGTGAAGTAACTCTAAAACAATATGAAAGTGAAAAATTATTACAATATATCGTCAATGAATCCAGTAGAATATTCAAGTGGGAATCAACACATTTAAGAGACCACTGCTTCAACCAACGACCCACCAGACATACACACACATGAACCATGGACTTGTTTAAATAAAGTCCTGCCCTTCTCAGTTTTCTGTTCTGATCCCCTCTGTCTGCTCCAAATGGATTTTAAAACAGAATCTCTCCACTGTTGGTCTCAGCAGGTTTCACTTCAGCTATTTCTGGGTTTAAACCCATATCAGCTCATATCAATGCACTAAAACCAGCCAAATGTGTGCACAGGGCAAAAAATCGATGCCTCAAGTGGATCAATTTAACCCGTTTGGATCACATTCAGATCCGCTTAACAATCAATCAACCTTTATTTATACAGGTAAATCCCATTGAGCCTCGAGGACTCATTTACAAGAGAGACCTGATTTCAACAAAGAAAGATGACAACAATGGACAACTGCAACAACAATAAACAGTTATAAAAAGCATACTACAGTTTTTTTTTTTTGTTTGTTTGTTTTTTTACAAATAGGATGGCTAAAAGGAAAAGGTAACAAAACAAAAAACAGCTAGATTCCAAGACAAATGTATAAAACTAAAAACAGGAACATGTCTGCATTGGTCCCTGCCAGGTGTCCAACAGATTCTTAAAGACACTTAGAGAGGTCAAGGTCGAGAGCTTCAGATCTTTTTGTAAGATATTCCAGGAAACAGGAGCGGAGTAGGAGAAGGCCCTTTTGCCTAGTTCAGTCCTCACTGAGGGAACACTGCAGGTAATAATGTCCTGAGAGCGCACACTGTAGCTGCACTCACGCAGAGACATGTAGGAGGAGATGTATGAAGGCAGCAGACCAAGAAGTGATTTAAAGATGAAAATGTACCAGTGAGAGAGTCTGCATGAAGTTAAAGATGACCAGTTAACCAGTGAATACTGGGTGCAGTGGTGGGTACGACAATCACAGCCAGTTATGAATCTTAGTGCACCGTGATAGACAGCATCCAACATCTGCAGGGTTCTTGTAGGAGCGTTCATGTAAATAATGTCACCGTAATCAATGGAGGGAAGGAAAGTCACAGATACAAGGTGTTTTCTAGCATTCAGGGTTAGACAGGATCTGTTTCTGAAAAAGAAACCCAGTTTAACTTTCAGTTTCTTTACCAAGTTTTCCACATGGAGCTTAAAAGAGAGATGTGAGTCGACCAAGATACCCAAATATTTATAGGAATCAACAAACTCAATGGGGACACCATTTGAGGATAAAATCGGAGGAAGAACTGCTGGGACCAACTTCCTATTTGAAAAAAAGCATCCCTTTGGTTTTGTCGGGGTGTTGACAAAACGCGAGGTGTTGAACTATAAGAGTAAATAAGTAAAAAACTGAGAACAAATCACTAAAATAATTTTAAATTTCCTTAAAATTGTCTAATATAAAGTTGTAAAAAAATGGAAAACCACACCGAACAAAATAATACACAGCAAGCTCAGTAAATAAGCATTTTGCGTTGTTGATTAGGATTATTATCCCGTTTATAGTATTAGTTTATTGCAGTATTTACTCAAACTTGTTTTGTTCAACTGCTTTGTGTTTCTCTTGTGCTGCTCTTTGGTTGCACAAATTAGGGTGACTCACTCACAAAAAGAGCTTTTATTGTGAAAAACACAGGAAGTTGACTCATACCACGAGCAGATTCAAACTGGTTATATCAGCTGGGAGCAAACACACACACTCACACACACTCACAGGTCCACGGAGGACAGAGACGGACTGAACTGAGCTTCCAATAAGTGACATAATGAAACCACGACTCTGGTAAGAAAATACATTTTATGTTTGATGCAAACAAGTTTTTTTTTTCACCTTTCTTTAACTGTTTTAGATCATTTAAAAATAATAATGTGTCAATCCATATTATGTGCATTTTAGTTTTGTGATTTTTTTGCTAAAATGAGCGTGCAAACTGCAGGAATGAGCATGTTTCTAAGTAAAAATAGGAGCTGTTGGTGCAGTTCTCCGTTTGACCACAGGGGGGCGCATGATGCCGCTCCAGTTTCGTTTGTTGGGAAACGCTGTTACTTTCATTTCTCCTGACTCCTCAGAAATTATGCTTTTTTCTTCATTTTCATGTTTTAGCAAGAGGAAAACATCATTTAATTAAATTAATACACATTTTGTTTGTTGTTACGTGAAGCAAATCTCTACTTATATCTATTTACAAAGAATTTAATTAATAATACTGACTGAAAATGAAATTATACAATGGCTGTTTATTTGTTTATAAACAAATGCACTGTTAGAGGAATAAAATCAAACGTATCCCACAAATTATACTTTAGAAATAAACAAGAATTTCTACATTTATTTGTATCTAATGTGTTTTCCTTCCTACGTGTATATTTATTATTTTATTTTTTAGGATTTTCATATATCTACAGTGTTTCCTTAATGGAGGTTTAGTTGGTAAGTACTGGCTTATTTTAAGTGTTTTTTTTTCTCCAAATGATTAATTTATCTTAATGTCAATTTATAAGTCTAATCATTGTTTGAGGTAAAACTTCAGCTGTGTCTCAAATTAAAAATTTCTGGAACAACAAAGAAATGGACAGTGAGTACTTGAATACCCACTTTAAAAAAGTAAGATGAAATGTATTTTATTTTAAATGTACGTTTTAAATTTTAAATACAGTATAACCCATCTGCTAACACGAGGGGTGCGCCTTCTGGTGCAATATTGCAACTGTCCACCAGAGGGCGGCAGAGATGCTGATCCGCAATGAATTTACAGCAGGACCACGGAAGTCCATGTTTCTTGAATTTACTAAAACTGAACAATTTGAAATTTTTTTGGTCCAAATAGCAAATATTTACTGATTTCAGCTTCTCAATCATGAAAAAACAATAAAAGAAAAAAGCATTTTAAATATTTGTGTTAGTTTCCAACCAATTTCAAGTGCACTAGAAAAAAAGTTGTTTTTTTTTTTTGTTTTTTTTTACATGAGTAATAGTCCAAACTGATTTATTAAATGTAAGCTTGAATATGTATTTTACATTTTATGTTGTAATAACAGCTATAAATGAATAAAGCTCAAAACATGCACTTCCTGTGAACCTCTGAGCAGAAAAAGAGGCGTCTCCTGATGTTCCCTTCATTTTTCAGACTCCTCTGCTCTGCCCCCTGCTGCCCAGCCCCTCTCCATCATGTCCACAGCTGGGAGCCAGGTGGTGCTTCCCTGCAGCTGGAAGCCCCACCAGGCAGAGGTGGGCCCTTCCAGCTGCCACGTCCAGTGGGTGTCTCCGCCGTTCACCGTCTTCGAGCAGAACAGCGAGGACAAGTGGCAGCAAGAGAGGTTTGACGGGCGGTTGGAGGTGCCTACGGTGAAGCTCCAGGCCGGGGACTGTTCTCTGATCATCAAGGACGCTCAGATCGAGGACACGGGGAGGTACGAGAGCTTCATGGTGGTGGGCGGAGCCAGGTCCATGAAGACTCGGGTCTTCATTCAGAGCGTCAAGCTCTCCGTCACCGGTGAGACAGTTGTTTCTTCTGTTTTATTCTTGGAAATGTTATTTTCGCCGATTCTCACGGCTATTTACGTTGTTGTTCCTTTCAGACAACAAATCCTGGGATTCACATCATCCAGGGGAAGACTTTGTTTTGGAGCTCCACACACGCCTCTCGTTCACAGTGGTCTTCCAGGGCAGGTAAAATGCTTATCTTAAAAAAATTGATTGAATAAAAGCACCAATAAATAAATAAAAAAACTGCTACGTTTAATTTGAAACCACTCTCAAACTGAGACATTGGTGGAACCACCATTGCTTTTATCTTTTACTTTTAATAGTGAGAATGCATTAAGCATTCACACTATTGTGATCCTGTTTAGATTTCTTATAGTTACTATACTGCTTGTGTACATTTTTCCGCATCTTATCTTGTCCCACAATTTTTGTGCCATTTCAAAAAATCATAAATCAAAACGTTCAGCTCTTTCAAAACAATCCTGTTATGACTTTTGGTATTGGTTTTACTTTAGCTTTTTGAAATATTTAGCTTTTTCTTCCATTTTTTCCTCATAGGAAATGAATTGAGCTCATTTTACTTCATATCTTTCGATGTGTTTACAACCTTTTACTGCTCCTTTCACATTTTGTTCTTTCAGCTTCCTTGTGCACATTTTTTTCAGCTACTTTCAGCTGTTTTTCAAGCTTTTTTGTGCTTCTTTAAGATTCTTTCTGCTAACTACAACATTTTTGTGCTTTTTCTAACTTATTTTTGCTCCTTTCAGCGTTTTCTGCTATTTCAGCTAGATTTTTTTTTTTTTTTTCACTCATTCAACTTTTATTTAGACGGGTTAATCCCATTGAGCCTCGAGGACTCATTTACAAGAGAGACCTGATTTCAACAAAGAATGATGACAACAATGGATAACAATGACAACAATAGACAGTTATAAAAAGGCATACAATTTTTTTTTTTTTAAATACAAAATAAGATGGCAAAGAAAGTAAAAACAGCTAGATTCTAAGGCGAATGTAGAAAACTAAAAACAGGAACATGTCTGCATTGGTCCCGGCCAGGAGTCCAACAGATGTTTAAAGCCACTTATGATGGTATGTAAATAATGTCACCGTAATCAATGGAGGGAAGGAAGGTCACAGATACGAGGAGTTTCCTAGCATTCAGGGTTAGACAGGATCTGTTTCTGAAAAAGAAACCCAGTTTAACTTTCAGCTTCTTTACCAAGTTTTCCACATGGAGCTTAAAAGAGAGATGCGAGTCGACCAAGATACTCAAATATTTGTAGGAATCAACAAAATCAATGGGGATACCATGTGAGTATATCTGTTTTATGCTAATTTCAGCTTTTTTCAGACAGTGTCCACTTTTTTGTGCTAATTTCTGCTTCTTTCAGCTTAATTGGGCAAACGTGTGTGCTTTCTGCTTTCTTCAGCTAACTTAAGCTTGTTTTACCTTTTCAGCAGTTTTTGTAAATTTTCAGATAAATTCAAGTTTTTCATAGTAACTTTTGCTACTTTCAGCCTAATTCATTACGATTTGTTATGCTTGTGCTCCTTTCAGCTTTTTTATGCTATTTCAGCTACTATTTAGCAGTCTTTATGGTAATTTTAACCTTTTCAGCTAAATCTTTATTTTTTACCTCATTTCAGCTCTGATAGTTTAAGCCTCTTTCTGCCTTTTCAGCTCTTTTTTTTAAGCTAATTTTCTAATATCTGCTCATTTCTGCTCATTTATAATACATCAGCAAAAATATGTTCTTTCTGTTTTCTTCTGTTAATTAAGCCTTGTTCTTTCATTTCAGCTACATTTCATTTCAGAATGTTTTTTTAAGCTAATTTCAGCAGTTTTTCAGCAAGTTCTTCAGCAATGAACATTCACGCTGCATTTTTGGAAATGCAATTTCTCTAGTTTATTTTATTGTGTGCTCTTGCCCACAGATTCTCTTTTTCTTCATTCATGTTCCTAATCTATAGATTTTCCCTCCCAAAGGAGATCTAGAAAGAATAAAAATGCACCTTTCTCATCATTTGCTTAAAGTTATGACACACTTGCACTGGAGAACTCCCCCATGTCTAAACTTGGATTTAAACCTACTTGTTTCCTAGTCGCAATGAGTCAGAATCTATATTTTGTAAACAGGTTATGCCAGTTGGTTGAAACATATAATTTAAATGTTTTTTTGTTGGTCTCTGTTTCGTTTTATTTCAAACCACACAACGAGAAGGACTCACCTTCCAAAATGTTTCACATTAAGAGGAATTCTTGTCTAACTGTAATAATAATGAAAATAATGATGTTTGGAGGTTTTCAGAGAAAGTTTGAAGCTGTGTGAAACACGGTGAATTTAGCATTCCTTACAGGAATCCTCACCCTCTACGTTTCATGGTAGTTTTCTTCAAGATGGCTGCCAGAGCCACATCTCGCAACTTAATGCTTCAAGTATGTAGTGCAATTACAAAACCGATTTTTAGCTCAAAAGCCGTAAAACCGACTGAGTTATAATCATGCAGGGGTTCCAAACACTGGTCCTTGTGGAACACCATCCTGCATGTTTTAGTTTTTTCTATGCTCCGACACGCCTGATTTTAATAAATGGTTGATTAACAGGCTTCTGCAGAACATGAGGAAGTAATTAAATCACTGAATCAGGTGTGTTGGAGCAGAGAAACAACTAAAACATGCAGGATGGTGTTCCTCAAGGACCAGGGTTTGGAACTGGAATCATCTAAGGTTAGTTTTCTGTGGCGGTCATCTTGAATTATGTTGACTCCAAAATCCAGTCAGTTTTTAATATAAAACTTTTGAAGAGTTTCATTAAACTCTGTCCTGTTTGTGATAAACATTAATAGATACAGTTAACTTTAATGGTAAATAACATTTTAAAAGCAAACCTTACTCTGTCGGTGGTGACTCAGCTTCTTCCACATCAAATCTGAGCTTGGTATATATAAAATAACCTGAGTTTACTAAAACGGCATAGCTGTGGTGGCCATCTTGTATGGGGCTGGCTCCAAGGAGTTGTAGATGTCCATCTAATTAGTTTCAATAACATTTGCCTAGCATTAATTAGATATTTTGCTAACGCTACAGATGCTTTGCCTTCAGCAGTGATAATAATTCCTTTAATACACAAGTTTCTCAAGCATTTCAGTGCTGCATAAACTTTGCACCTTTTGTGAACTGCGTTTACTTTGTTTTTTTTGCTTGTTTTATATTTTTAAATTAATTTTATTGCCCCTACAGGAACAACTCAGCGTGGCAAGAACTCTGGAAGAGGGGCGATGAAAACAGCGAGCGGGTGGAGAAACATCCCGTGCTCGAGCAGTTAACGATAAAGAAGCTGAGGAGGTCCGATGAAGGGATATACAAAGTTCTGAATGAAAACGGGCTCTCTGTCAGCACCGTGCAGCTCTCTGTAACAGGTGAGAACATGGTACACAAGTTGTATTTTATTTTACTCATTGTGCCTCGTTTAAATATAGTAATAATAGAGAAATAAATGTCATACAGCAGCACTAAATATTTAAAATAACATTATATCAGACTAGATGCATTAGATGATTATGAAAAGTGTATTTTACATGTATTCTTAGTATTCAATTAATATTTGCATTATTAATGTCACGTAATTTAACTCTCTCACAGAAAACTCCCCGTCTTTTAGCGCCCACCGAAAACAGGAAAACGTACCAACAGGTAAGAAAACATGAATATTTTTTACACTTTTTTCAAAACTTTTAAGTCTATTCGTTCAACCTTTATTTAAACAGATAAATCACATTGAGCCTCGAAGACTCATTTACAAGTGAGACCTGTTTGGACAGACAACAAACAGCGGTTAACTGGACACGTGTAGGAGTTGGAGGCAAAAAAAATTCCTATCAGACTTTTTTTTTTCCCTGTCTGAGAAAAAAAAAAACTAATATTAAAAAAACACCTCGCACAAACAAGCACATAGTAACGTAGACATTCTGCAGACAGAGGAGACGAGAGCGGTCAACAATGTTCATAGATGCTCTCGAGGTCACTGTGAGAGTTCTGATAAGGATGGAAAATCAGTCAATGTCCTCCGGTGAGATCCATAAACATTCTCGAGGTATGTCGAGGAATGGCCAAGAATAACGTCTATGAGAATCCAAGAGTCCTGAAATGATGACACAAAGTTTATTCAGCTGGTTCCATCTGGTTATCAGTTGGAAGTTCCTCAGGGAGCGGGTGGTGAGCGTCAGATCACATGTTCTCCAGGTGAATTCAGATAAGATGACCTTCAAGGCCAGCCAAGGGAGCCAACTTCAGATAAACACAGTTGTTTTGGGGACAGGCAGAACTTAGTGACATCTACCTTGAGTCTGTGTTGGTCCACTCGGTTTTGAAACGTCCAAAATACATGGCCACACCGATGGAACGTGACTGAGTAAAATCCCCGAGATCTGATCCATTCAGCCCAAAGCATTTGAGTCTGGGTACTCGAGACACAAACCAAGCCATCATAAAGGCAAGCAGCGTGATCGGGTCCAAATTTGCTGCCGACGACTTCCTTGATTGTAGATAAAACCAGCAACCAGCCGAATCCAAAAAACAGGAACCAGTTATCGTAAATCCAATTAAATATGCGTCCTTAAAATCCACAGATGGCAGCAGAGATAGACACATCATCAAGTCTTGCAGTCGATGAGATATCCAGCTGCGTGCGTGCCAACAGGGAAAATGGGCTCGTCTAAAGCCTCTCTTCGAAGAAATGTTGTAAATTGAGTTGAGGGACCAACTGGTCAAAACAAGTCCATAATTATGGTTCAGAGGATGTGAAGAGAGCTCACAAGCAGTTTCACAGACAGACAGAGCACAAAGCAGAGAGGGAGGGAAGCATCCGATCTCGGCGAGAGCAAGTGGTGAAATGATGAGTCTAAAACATAACTTACACTATTTTGTCTCCAAATGAATACATTTTATTAAAATATAAAAAAAAGTTTGTTCATATTAATTTCACTGTTTGAAATGGATTTGCATCAAGTGTAAATTTAGCCTTGTCTAATTATCATGTTTTAGCCTCAGAATCCAAATTAAGATGCAAGGCTTCAGGTTATTTTTGCTTTTAACCTCCACATTCTGATGTGTTTTCAGGCGAGGCAGCTAAAAGCAGCTGCTCAGCTCTCCTCATCGTTTCTCTTTTAGTTTTGAGTTTCCAGATTCATCGTCACTGAGACAGGTTCTTCTGCAGAGCGCCTGTGCTTCAAGCAACTTGCACTTTATGAGTATCGAACTCAGCTGAATGTGACCTGTGATTATTTTCTTGTGTTTGACTTTGAGTGCAGATAATTTTCAGCAAGTCTTTCTAACATGACTGTTTGAAGCCTAAAAGTCTCCTACTAATAGTTGTGGTGGTTCAAAAGCCATGTTCATTTATGAGCTTCGTTTTAATGTTTTGTAAACTTTATGGTAACTTTTAAAATCTAACAACTAACCTGACTTTTTACTGGGTTACAGAGCAAACAAGTCCTGAAACAAGTGTTGCTCAAACATCATGCAGGTGCAAGCACGACAGACAACAATGAGCTACAAACTCATTTTCATATACTTTACTTTATCTATATCTATATATATATCTATATATATATATATGTCTATCGATATCTATCTATATCACTATATATATATATCTATATATAGATATATAGATACAGTGCCTTGTGAAAGTATTCGGCCCCCTTGAACTTTTCAACCTTTTGCCACATTTCAGGCTTCAAACATAAAGATATAAAATTTTGATTTTTTGTGAAGAATCAACAACAAGTGGGACACAATTGTGAAGTGGAATGAAATTTATTAGATGTGTCAAACTTTTTTAACAAATAAAAAACTGAAAAGTGGGGTGTGCAATATTATTCGACCCCCTTGCGTTAATACTTCGTAGCGCCGCCTCTTGCTGCAGTTCCAGCTGCAAGTCTCTTGGGGTTTGTCTCTGTTAGTTTTGAACATGGAGACTGAAGTTCTGCCCATTCTTCTTTGCAAAACAGCTCGAGCTCAGTGAGGTTGGATGGAGAGCGTTTGTGAACAGCAGTCTTCAGCTCTTTCCACAGATTCTCGATTGGATTCAGGTCTGGACTTTGACTTGGCCATTCCAACACCTGGATACATTTATTTGTGAACCATTCCATTGTAGATTTGTCTTTATGTTTTGGATCATTGTCTTGTTGGAAGATAAATCTCCGTCCCAGTCTCAGGTCTCTTGCAGACTCAGACAGGTTTTCTTCCAGAATGGTCCTGTATTTGGCTCCATCCATCTTTCCATCAATTCTGACCATCTTCCCTGTCCCTGCTGATGAAAAGCAGGCCCAAACCATGATGCTGCCACCACCATGTTTGACAGTGGGGATGGTGTGTTCAGGGTGATGAGCTGTATTGCTTTTACGCCAAACAAACATATCTTTTTGCATTGTGGCCAAACAGTTGGATTTTGGTTTCATGTGACCAGAGCACCTTCTTCCACACGTTTGGTGTCTCCCAGGTGCTTGTGTAAAACTTCAAACAACACTTTTTATGGATATCTTTGAGAAATGGCTTTCTTCTTGCCACTCTTCCATAAAGGCCAGATTTGTGCAGAGTACGACTGATTGTTGTCCTATGGACAGACTCTCCCACCTCAGCTGTAGATCTCTGCAGTTCATCCAGAGTGATCATGGGCCTCTTGGCTGCATCTCTGATCAGTCTTCTCCTTGTTCCAGATGAAAGTTTAGAGGGACGGCCGGGTCTTGGTAGATTTGCAGTGGTCTGATACTCCTTCCATTTCAATATGATTGCTTGCACAGTGCTCCTTGGGATGTTTAAAGCTTGGGAAATATTTTTGTATCCAAATCCAGCTTTAAACTTCTCCACAACAGTATCTCGGACCTGCCTGGTGTGTTCCTTGGTCTTCATGATGCTCTCTGCGCTTTGCACAGAACTCTGAGACTATCACAGAGCAGGTGCATTTATACGGAGACTTGATTACACACAGGTGGATTCTATTTATCATCATCAGTCATTTGGGACAACATTGGATCATTCATAGATCCTCACTGAACTTCTGGAGTGAGTTTGCTGCACTGAAAGTAAGGGTCCGAATAATATTGCACGCCCCACTTTTCAGTTTTTTATTTGTTAAAAAAGTTTGACACATCCAATACATTTCAAAAGTTTGCTCTTTTTCATGTTAATACAACTTATTTGACTCAAACAGACCTTCTGACTGTAATGAGCATTATGTGTGTTAAACTTTAAAACCTTCCCATAGTAGTTGTTTAGTTAACTGATCAACATAAATGTAATAATCTTGGTGCAGTTATCAGAAAAAATTGGACTAAATTGGTGTATTATTGTTAAACCTGATGTTGATTTTATTTTTTTGTAGCAGAGACATTTGTTGATGTGAAATGCTGTGGAAATATCTTATATAACAATATAATAAAGAGTTAAAACTGTGCTGTGTTTTCATTTTCTTTACTTTAACTCCATAGAATGTTATTTTACAAGGGAATGACTTCGGATATTAATTTACACAAATAAATGCAACACAATGGACTTTGTACAGATGAGCAAAAAAACAAAAACAAATTCACTCAGTTACTTTCACACTAAATGAGTTCATCTTTTAAACACTAAATTCTAAACTTTGATCAGAGCGTGATGAATCTGCTCGTTACTTCCATTTAGATCAAAAACTGACGACAGCAGCTTCATTTTTTTGTAACTACAGATTGGTGATTTTCTATGAAGATTAATTAATTATTGGTTCCCAACACTGGTCCCTGAGGAACACCATCCTGCATGTTTTAGTCGTTTCCTGCCCTCACGCCTGAATCAGTCATTTAATTACTTAAGCTCTGCAGAAGCTGGTTAATCATTCAAATCAGGTGCATCAAAGCAGGGAAACGAGTAAAACATGAAGGACGGTGTTCCTCAAGGAGCGCAGTTGGGAACCACTGAAGCACAAAGGTGAGACGTCCAAACAAAGAAAGGAAGTCAGTCTGAACTGTTGCCTCAGAATGGTTTGAGTTAAAATATTGAATTTGTGGATAAAAAGGAAAAATTGCCACCTTTCTTGTTGCCTCTCCTGCAGAGTTCAGTGTTTCAAGTAGTTCACAGGAGCTTGTCTTGCTAGTGCAGTGTTATAAATCATAATCCTAATTCCTCCAACAACAACAAAAAAAAGAATACACACAATTCACGTACAAATATACATCCCAGATCAGAATTAAGTTGCTCATTTACCATTAAGAGTAAAGTTAAAGAATTATATTTTGAGGCTTTTCTTAAATTCTGCTTTAATCTGAATCTCATCAGTTAAATTTGTAGATACTGGTTAAATTATTATGTTGGAAAGTGATTTTCGTGCAAAGCTATGCCGTTTCCCCAGCACACACAGTTACGCAGTGACAGTTTGATCATGTTACTGATTCATGAAGTTCAGAGGAACCAAATGTTCCAGTAAAGCATTTACAGTTTGGTTTTATAAATAAATGGATCTAACGTGTGCCACCTCCTCACTAACCTGTCAAACAGCGTGCTGGAGAAAATACAGTAAATGCTTTCTTTTCAAGCTTTTGAGTTTTGAAGACGTGACAGGTGAGCTCAGGAGGATCAATGTTTCAGTTTTGAGTCCCAGTTGTTCTAACTGGGCGGTTTTGTTAGAAGTTGGGTTTGTGCTTCTTGACCTCCACCATGAGGTGGTGAAGGTTGATGAGCTCGGAGCGGACGGCCAGGCTGCGGAACGTCGGCTGATTCAGGATCTTGTGAAAGCCGTGGTAGTACTGGATGAGCTGGGTTAGGGCGCCCTGCAGGGAAACAAAACAAAACGAGAGCTGAAATACGACTTGGTGCATCTCTCACCTCCACCTACATGAAGATGGAAAACGCTTCGTATCCGTCTTCAATAAAACGTTTTGCGCCCGTTTCAGTGGAAACCGCACAAAGAACAGGATGTAACTTAAGTAAAGATAAAAACGTACAGCTTGTTGTTTTGCTGAAAGCAATGTAGTGGCACAGTAGGGGTTGACTAGACTAGTCGACCAGTCGACTCTAGGACATCTCGCGAGTTTTTAAATTTCACGCAGTCGGTGATTATGTCACGTAACCAGCGCCGGGCCGCCGGCTACAAGATCCAAGCAGATGGAAGGCGAGGAGCAGGCCAAGTCTTCCCAAACAGGTAGAAACTCATCAACAGTGTGGAAGTATTTCACTAAAGATTAGGCCTGTCGCGATAAACAATAAATCATTTAATCATGTGATAAATGAAAATTATCGATCTCATTTTCATTAATCGGCTTTATCGTTTCTTCGTGTCTCTTTCTACTGAAAACACTGGATGACAAAAAGCTCAACTCCGGTGCTCTTCACTGACCCCTCCCTTTCTCTTTAAAATCTGTTTTAACGATCCAAAATCGCATTTTTGGATCGTTAAAAGCAGCTAAGCTGAGAAGCTGAGCTACGAGCTAAGCTAACAGGCCGACCTCGGGGAAAAAAACCTCCGTCTTGTCGAAGCTCCAAAAACTCACGGTTGAAACTCGTGCCTTTGCGTAAAAAGTTGTTTTTCTCTGTAAAAAGAAGCTGAGAACTTGTTTACTGATCTTTTTATTAAAAGCTTTGTGTGAAAATGCTATGCTAAAGAGCTCAAACCACACGGAGCGTCCGCCATTTTGAAAACCGAAAAAAGGAGAGACAGCCCATGTCACGTCAAGGGGCCTCCCTCCCATTTTTCTTAAAGAGACACAATGTTCGCTCCCTCACTATCCATCCTTTGGTTCAAACAGTCTTTTACTGCCATCTGGTGGTCAAAAATAGATGCATGCAAAACAAATTAAACATTTCTTCTTAAATTTAACAATAATTACTAATTAAGTCAAATTTCAAACAATATTATCGTTTATCTCAATAATTACTGAGACAATTAATCACCCAGAAAAATTTGTTATCGTGACAGGCCTAGTAAAGATGATGTTTTTATTTTATTTAACCCACTAAATAAAATAAACCACCGCCACAGTGGTTTCTTTCATTTAGTGGATTAATAAAATAAAACAAACTTTTGCAGCTTAATAATAGTTTTGGTTTTCCTGTGACTTATCTGCAACATGATAAATGGTAGGAGCATAAATGTATGCTCCCGATGCTTTGTTGTTCTTTTTTTTGTAAATAATAAATGTTTTTTTTTATTTTTTTATTTTAGTGGCGTCTTGAGGTCCTATGACGTCATCAACTATTCAACGTCAACTCCACTATTATCATGTTAATGTCGACTTTAAAAACTATTAGTCATTCAACCCTTATGGCTCAGAGGTTAGCGAAGGTGGGCCTGTGATTGGAAGGTTGCCGGTTCAACTCCCCGGACTGAGAACATCAAAATGTGGATTGGAATGGTGAAGCACCCTGCTCCATCCTGATTTGTCCCACTCTGGGCCCTTGAGCAAGGCCCTTAACCCCCACCATCTGCTCCTTGGGGCACCCTAGATAGCAGCTCTGCTCCACACAGAGGGCTGTGATGGCTCGGTGGTCTGTGGTTGCATCAGGAAGGGCATCCGGCGTAAAAACTAAATCTTTGTGCGAGTTAGCTCGCTGTGGCGACCCCTGAGGAAGGGAGCAGCCGAAAGAAGAAAAACTAAAACTTGTGACATATTTATTTAGAAACTTTTTTTGTGTCGGCCATTTTCCCCAACAGGAATTCTGACCTCTCAAAAAGATTCTGGCACCGAGGCGCCGACATGTTTCACTGCTGGAGGTGCTTCATGTGTTAGTTCAGCGCCGCCTGCCGACGCCCTCACCTGAATGATGCTGGTCCCGTTTTTGAAGTTGGTGAAGGACCTCATGACGTCTTGACTCATCGACTCTACCGACTGTTTCCAAGTACTGGAAAAACCTCGAACCAGCTGAGTGATGCGAGCTGCACACAAACGATACGTTACCGATACATGTCCATTCAGCAGTGAGTTAACCCACAGTCTGTTCACTTTGAGGCTTCGCTCTGATTCATAGTCGGCTTTTGGTTGTTTCCTTTCTGGTTTCATATGTGGGGAAAACAAAACAAATGCACAGATATGAAGTGGTATTTGGGGGGACAAGAGGAAACAGACGTGGGAAGCTGATGCGGTGAATCTGCGTCTTCGGACTTGCAGAGAAGAAACAAAACTGAGGACAGTGGAAAGCAAAGGAAGGAAGTGGCTCGTTACACCGTAAAACAAAACTGAGCAGTGAAATGAAAGAAAGCTGCGGGCAGACCTTCACGTTTACTGGAAACAGAGAAACTTTATCATAACCAAGTAATCTAAGGCGAATGAGAAGATTTTCAATAAAGTAAAAGACTTTTGAGACACTTTGAGTTTGCACGAGAATTTAAGGTGAGGTTAATGATTCTTGCAGCTCTCTGTGACTCGTGAGGTGAAGGAAATACTAAATATGAACACAATCAAGTTCGAGTCTAACTTTGTAACTCGAGTGCAAAATAAAATCAGATTATTGTGAATTTAGACTAAGAACATTACTGTTAATATAAATTCAGTTAGACATAAAATGTTCTGGCTACTTCCTGAAGGCTCCATGTAGACTACTATAAAATAATAATTTCACACAATATGTGGGAATTAAAATATATCTAAAATTATGCAAAGTCTCTTTGCAGTGCCAAAGGACCTACAACCAGACAACATAAGTTTGAAAACATAAAAACCTGCTGGTTCAGTTTTGTGACTAATGCAAGAACATGTTTGTAGCTTCCAGAGCTGTAAAATTATTTTTTATCCTTAGCGTGCATCTCAGTTGTCTAATTACACACAACTATTATGACATAAAAGCTTGAGGGTGGAGCCTGCAAGATTCAAGTGCTTTCATCTAAAGCCCGACCGATATATCGGTAGGGGCCGATAGTTTAGGCAGATAATGGTGTTTGAGGACTTATTGGTATCGGTGATAATTGTCCCATTATGCACTGATATAAACACTGGGAACAAGCCGTGTCCTTATATGCAAAAGGGATAAATGTACAATGTATCCAGCAGAGGGCGCATGCAGACCACTTTCAAGTCAAGACCGTTCACTTAAGTTTCACTTTCAGCACAGCCGAAGCAGCGAGCAACTAAATGCTGTGTAGCATATAATGCTGATAAACAGAGCATGGTACGTTTATTTTATTTGATTTGTAAAATTAAAAAAAACAATAATAAATTATCTTGAATCCTCCAACTCGCTTGTCATTAGCTATGTGCCTCTCAAGTTAGCAAGCTAACATAGATAACCTAACATGGGCTGTTGCCTTGTAAAACTTTATTCAGAACAATAAATCTAACGTAGAGGTAAGCACATAAATAAAAATGCAGCTGTGGTCAACACTAATTAGACCTTCACCATACATGACTGACTGTTTAAACAAAGAACAGGGAAGGCGTTTCTTTGTTAAATTTATAATTTTGTAACACGCTTGATAACTTTATGGTGAATAGTGGAAGATAGAAAATGTGAACGTTAGGAAGACTTCAAGTGTAAAAACAGGTTTAAAAGTAGCTGTTTACAAATTCTTGGGGGTGGACAAAGCTAAAAAAAGTTCCAGCCATTATATCGTTAACGACATTAGCCTTCCCCTCCCAATATCAGTGATAACCAAAATCTCCATATCGGTCGGGCTCTAATTTCATCACACTGTTGTAGTATTTTTCTCACCTTCCTCATTCTTCAGTCGGTCCAGCTGTCCCTTCTCCATCAGCGCCTCGGCCTCCTTCACGAAGGCAATCATGCCTCCAAAGGGAGGAGACAGAATCTCCTCGATAAACTCCTGGAGGGACGGGATAGAGGAAAAGCAGAGAAGAAGCCTTCAAATGACAGTTCTTTTAAGAAAAACATCAAACAAACTGGTTTTTTTTTTTTTTTGTTACCGTTTCTTTTAAATAAAATAAGACTAAGGTAAAATAAAATTCTAATGTTTAGGTGTCAGGATACAATATTAAAAAAATGCCACTCATTTCATTCTTATAATAAAAAAAAAAGTCAAATAAACAACCTCTATTACACAAAAACACACAACAGATAAAGCTGGTTTTGTTTGGTGCCCCCTGCTGGACCAAAGACAAACTGCAAGTTCTACTTTAGGGACAATATTATTTCATATTCACAGTAATTTTGATGCTTTCTATGTTGTTGACTGAACAAAACGCACTTAACATTGTCACGTAAACACTGTCAAGTTGAATATTAATATTCCTCTGTACTATATTTAACACTTCCTGCTTTCAAACTTATTTTAGGTTTATTTAAAAATCACATGCATACAATTTTATAGTTATATTTAATGTCTTATTTTATTTATACTCGCATGAAAAAATAAGATTTTAAAATTACATGCTGATACCTAAATCACATTAACAAGGTCTTAAAAGCTATTCTTATAATATCAATACAAAAAAAATACTATTTTTTAAACCATATGTAGATCCACATGTTGATAAATGTTCAAACAGATCATTAAATTCCCAAATGTATTAAAAGTTATTAAAATATCACACATACTGATGAACTATTGAAGGAATGTTCAGAATAGATGATTATTATAACTGTGTTTACCTGTGTTCTGGCCAGAAGTAGCTGCTGAAAACTTTCCACCTCCTTACTGTCGTCTGCTGCTCTTTCCTGGATAAATAAACAAATAAACAAATAAACAAATAAAAGAACGAAAAGGTTAGATTGGAACGAGACACGTCAAAATCTGTCCACTTTTCTTAACAGTAATCAAAACAAAAAAAGACTTTTTGTAATATACAATGAGAATGATGCTATGTTTAATTATAAGAACAACAAACGGAAACACATTTTTATTTTCTTCTTCGGCGCCCGACTCACCATGAGAACGCTGAGCATCATGTCGTAGTTGTTGATGAGGAAGATGAGCTGGTCTCTCCTGGAGGGAAACTCTGCGGCCATTTTCAGCACAAAGTTTTCCACCTCAGCCTGAAACAAACAAACAAACAAAAAATTATGTACACATTTGTATCAAGTCAAACACTTTTATGAAAGAAAAATATATATTTTTTTGTTTTGTTGTGAACAATTTATCTTTCAATTCAATTTAGATTTCCTCTCAAAAAGATGAGAACTTTTAAGTTGGAAAGCTTTTTTTAAGTCATTCTTTACCTTTAGAGATCTAAAGATCAAAATAGAAACAAGTTTTGAGGGACAACAAACTACTAATAGGAATGTGTAAATAAAATGTGTGTGTGTGTTACCTGCAGCTGGCCCAGCAGAGCGTTGGTCCTCTCGTTAGGAAACGTTTGGTTGATGCTGACGATGGCTGAGGAGAACTCTGCGTAACGTCGAGTGATCTGAAATCACCAATCGCACATTTTAATGACGAACACGCTGCTGAACGTATTCTGAAGCGGTTCTTTATGCACCGCTTCTGGATGTCTGCAGGTATTTAAAACACGCATACGTAGTGCGGTCTGGTGTCCAGAACTCCCAGTTTCTGAGGGTCTGTGTTTCTGATGCTCTGGATGTTCAGCTCCAGGATGAGCTCAAACCTCGGCCACAGCAGCTCCAACACGGCGTCCCAGTACCTGACAATCGCACAAAGACACAAAAATAACTTTAAATGGCATTTTCTTTTGTTTGTTTTGTGACTTTAGCGCCTCCTACTGTTCAGAGGATAAATTGCAGTTCCTCTTAGTTTCACAAAGACTCATTCATTCAACCTTTATTTATTTAGACAGCTAAACTAACCAGTTTTAGTTAACTGTTTGAGGCTTGTATCTCAGTTTAAGCTGGACCCAAAAGACTCAAAAGAACTGGTTCAGTTGGATTGACTCTATTCTGATGCGTTTAAAATGTCAAACTGTGTCACAACATTTATTCCCTTTAGCTTGTTGAGTTTTCATTTAAGAGCTGAAGATGATCTACTCTTATTTTTGTTCTCAGGCATTTCTGGACATGGGCGACACGGTGGCACAGTTGGGAGAGCAGTCGCCTCCCAGTGAGAAGGTTGCCGGATCGACTCCCAGCCTGGCACCTTTCTGGGTAGTTTTTTTCTGCGTATTTCAGTTTCTTCCCACAGAACAAAAACATGCATGTTAGGCTGGTTTGGTTACTCTAAATTATCCATAGGTGTGAGAGTGAATGGTTGTTTGTCTCCATGTGTCCCTGTGGTGGACTTGGACCTGTCCAAGGTGTATCCCACCTCTCCCAGTAACTGCTGGACATGAGAACCAGCGACACCCGCAACCCAAAAAAGGAAAAAGCGGGTAAAGATAATGAATGGGTGGATTTTTGGACATTACGATTGCAGTTTATTTCCCTGAAAGAAGAGCTTGATGATGATTTAAACTTTATTTCCTGAAATCGACTTTGTATAACGACAAACTGTTTTTATTGAGTACCTGCAAATCTGTGATGATGGGAGTCTTTTATTTGAAACGATCTAGTTTTCAGTTGTCATGATGTAAAAATGGGAGAAAATAACAACTGAACATTAATGTAAGAAAAAACTCAGAATTATTTGATGATTTACTTCTAAAATAAAACAACCAACAATTGTTTAGGTGCTGTCTTATTGCGAAACTGATTTCAGCAAAATGATTTCCATGAACAAAGAAAAACATTTCCTTTAAGTGAGACACTGACTTGTCAAGAGCAGGAATGTTCCTCTTGGCTGTGATGGCTCTGAAGCGGAGGATGATGTGGATGCAGAGGAAGATGGCGATGCTGTCGTAGCAGTCCGACACGTAGGTGGACATACTTTTCTGCAGGAAGAGACAAAGACGAGACAGAATGTGGGTCCTGCACGCCACAATATTGTTAGGATGATTAGTAAGACTTTAGTCTGGAGCACAAAATCCATTAATAGTCAAAGTAACTGTTGATTCAGAGTTTAGCTTTATGCATTCTTCCACCTTAAACATATTTTATAGCGTCGAGTGCAAAAGTCAGTCACTCTCTGAACTTGTATTCAGGGTTTGATTTGAAAACCTTAGACAAAAATAAATCTGTTAAATAAGTTTGTTTTAAGCTGACCTTCTTAAGAAGTCTGTAAAGCTCTAGAAAGAAATCGTTCAAAGGTTCAACGCTGAGAGTTAGATGTTTATACCAAGAACATGCTGAGAGTTTTCCCCATGATGCTGTTGAAGAGGTCCAGGGCAGAGTTTCCGATCACCATGAAGAAGTCCGACAGGAAGAGGAATTCTCTGCAGCCGTTGTCCAGCAGAGCGTAGTGCTGACTGCGAAACAGCGTCTCATAGGGATACTAAAGAACACACGTACACGACAGGAAGGGTTATTTTGTTTGCTAGCTCTGAATATTCTGATGTAGGGCTGCAACAACGAATCGAGAAAATGGATCAAAATCGATTATTAAAAGTGTTGGCAATGAATTTCATTATTGATTCGTTGTGTTGCGCGATTAAGGGTCTCGCACGGCGCTGCGGAGCTGTTTTCTTCACCTGCAGAGCATTGTCAATGCTGGCTGATTGAATAAAGTAAAAAATTTAATTTAAAAAAAAAACCCTCTGCAGAGTGAGTTGCTTTCAAAGGAAATTAAGTAAATTTTACAAATGACCGACGCAGAGAAAAACTGTTCGACCCAAGTCCTTAAAAGTGTGGGAGCTCTTCACTCTTCACAAAGCTAAAAACTGTGTAACATGCAGCTTTGAAAAAGTGACGACACGGCACGGGAGAACCACGGTGATGAAACGTAAACATGTGGGAGTCATCGACGAGGATGAAGGATCAGCAGCAGGCGAGTCGCTACATTATGCTACATTTGATCCGTTTACAAAGGAGAAAACGTAACGTCAGTCTCTCTGTAGCTGCTGCTTGTTTGTTTGCTGATTAATGACGGTGATAGAGAACGTGTGTTACTTTTTAATTTAACTGGTACAAGCAGTGTTTAAATGTGATTTATAAATAAATCTAACACAAACGTGGTAATAATTTAATGATTAAGCTTCAACTTTTAATTTGCCGGCAAAGTCTGAGTGAAGACACAGCAATGTATGGCAGGATGAATTGCATTTAAACAAGTAATTTATTACATGTACTTAATTGTGTGCAATTAGTATTTTATATGTGTGTGTGTGTTTAATTGCTCTTTGTGCTACTTTTGCCTGAACCTAACACTGTAAGTGAAACAAGGCATTTCTTGAGTTGCAATAAATTATGATATATAATACATATTTACTGTCTCATTCCAGAAAACAACAACAAACAACAACACTTCATGATGGACAGACATCATGGACACCACAGCAGCAGCTGTCTTCACTGAAAACATCTTTAACATGATCGTCACTGACATGAGGCCTCTGTCGATGGTTGAAGACGAAGGCTTCACTACAATAATCCACACTTTTAATCCAGGTTACAATAATCCACACTTTTAATCCAGGTTACACTCTTCCCTCAAGGACACATTTTATAAAGTAGCTACATATTGTGCAGGTATAAAGCATACATTTGTATATAATTTTGTGTACATTTATTTTTTTATTGAAGCTATTTGACAAACTTTTAACATTTTTTATTATTCAATATTTTACTAACAGAATAGTCAAATAGCAACCTGTTTTTTGTGTCAGTCAAATGTGCAATTTAGGAATAAAGAGGTGGGAATTAAAACTTTTTTTTTTTTTGGCCGATTCATCAGAAAAAAATTAATTGACCGATAAATGGATTATTAAAATAATCGTTAGTTGCAGCTCTATTCTAATGTTTTGATTGTTTAAGGACAAGCTATTTTAAACTGTCTACTATTACAAATATTCAGGCATTAACTGCTCTCAATAAAAGTTCATACTTTTTACTTTGGAGTAAATCCTGTTTCAATGTAAAAATCATCGTGGTTTATTAAAAGGCTCATTTGTAGCAGCAAAGTATTATAAAAATATGGTAAATTAAACATTAAATGATCTGTTTTCCAAACAGACATGTGCACCAACTCTGCAAGATGCACATTACATTAACTTGCACTGATGCCAGCTTCTTACTTTGTTTCATAAATCATCACACCAGACCCCACTAACGTCTCTTCTTTGCAACGAATGAATGAATTTTTTATTACTTTATAAACGTCTCACCCTGCTGTCTCCTCTCTGAGCCGTGTGTGGAACCAGGATGGGCCCCTCCAGCTCGGCGGGACTCAGAATGGCCCCCCTCTGGCCCAAAGTGAAGATAGTGTTCCTGCTCTTCAAAGACGGTTTGGAAAAGAAACCTGAGGCTGCGAGTCAAGGAGCCTGAAACGCTCCGAGGCGTCGACAGGTCACATGACCAGACAGCTGTTCTGCCCGTTTCACCGTTTTTGCTTGAATTATCTGAGAACTAACCCGAACAAAACTTTGGGAAACTCTTCATCTACACTGAAACCTATGGAACTACATTTACTTGGCTACTAAAAAACTAAAATTAAAGAAATAAAATAAAAAGTGAGAAGTAAAAAAATGAGCATTTTATGAACAAAAACCCTTCATTTAAAGAAAAAGGTACATTTAGCATTGGTAGAGGATATAATCTATACGAGTGACTTTCAATATTTAAACAATTTGTAAATGTCAAGACAAATGTAAACTGGACACATCCATTACAAACGGTTATATTTTAAAGCAACAATGTATTTTGTTTAAAACTGTATTCCGTCGTGTTATATGACATTGGTTTTTCATGTGTAAACACAATCTAGTTGTGGGTGAAAAGACACAAACGGACGTTAAAGGATATCTTTCTTTGCTGTGTCTTCCACGCCCATCAGGTCGTCTTTGTCTGCCACCTCCTCATACTGCAGCACGACAGAGAAACATCAACAAAAAACATTTATTTATTGAAAATAAGAGCAAAAGAAGCACAAAATCTCTACTGCAGATGACTCTACCAGTTTGTCACAAACTTGAAATGTGATGGACGAGAAGAAAGCGGCTCAGGCAAGCTGTGATCTTGTTGATTTTAATATTCAATCCACGAACCTGAACTTTGAGAAGTCTGCTGCTGTAGGACTTGAAGTAACTATAGTAAATCTTGCTCATCGTGTCCACGTACTCGTCTCTGATCTCCTTGGCTACAGTTCTCTCGTTGGCCAAAAGGAACTGATAGAAGAACCTGCACGGGGACAAACAAAAAGGAATGATGTCATTTCCTTTTCAAATGTTTATTTCACAATAAGACGTTCTAATTACATAATAAAGCATTAAAAAAAAATCACAAATTAACTTTAGACTGACTTTTTAACCGTTTCAGGGATTTAATTCATAAAAAAGCTTTAAAAAGTAAAAAAAAAAGGAAGTTTGTGATACATAAACAACATTTAATTTAATTTCTGACACGCTCACCTGTATTTCAGCAGAGTGTTCTGTGGGATCTGATAGTTCGTCATTGGTTTTCTGAAGGAATAGATCTTCTGAAGAATGAACTCTCGGATTTTTGAAACCGCCTAGGGAAGAGAAGTTAACTCTAATGCGAGCGTGAACACAGTTAAACTCATAACTCGTGTCTATGTACACAAATATATATCAACCGGTCTGTAAAAACAATAAATAAAAATTTTAAACAATTATTAAATTCAATTCCGTTTAGTGATATAGCAGAAGTCATCTCAGGACACTGAACAGAAACATTCATTTATAAAAGTAATAATTTAACATTATTTATCTGAGGTGCAGACTGCTTTGAATTTAACTCCATCGCAGAACTCTCAACTTGAGCAAGCGTGAAGTACTCAAGATTTAGACTTAAAAAGTACACAAATAAACTAAATGAAAGAAGAGACTGTTAGAAAAACCAACAAATAAGGGAAGGCTTTAAGACAAAATATGAAGGACAAGAAAGTTACACGATACTAATTGAGGAAAAGAAAGAACAACAACAGAAAGCTTGACAGCTGGAGTGAAAAAGCTGCACAAATGGCCTGCTCTCATGTCCTAATTTTTAAAAAGAGCCAAAATTCCTGATTCCAGAAGGAGGAAAATCAGAGGTAACCGTAAATAGAACGGAAATAAAGACCAAAGCACATCTTATTTTATTTGTATGGAGTTCTCTAACATGGAACAAATGCAATAAACATGTTTGGGGAAAAACTGGTATCTGTTTAAAAAGTATCTTAGTTAAACTGCTTGTTATTGTCTGATGGCTGGATACATTTGATCAGTTATTTTAACGTTTATAACTTCTTCGAAGTGTTGTTAAGTATACATTTATTTAAGTTAAGCAATTATTATTATATTTTGTTAAATGAAGAATACAAATTGGGTCCTAATATTTCAGCCATTGTACAACAAATCCGTGTTGTATATCGACCATCAGCTGCCAGCATCACTGGTACAAAACTCCTCTACTGACCTCTAGATGAGGAATTGATTGTTGTTGGTTTCTCTTTTTCTGGTTTCACAAAAGTCTTAACTAAACAATTATGAACAGTTTGGGAAAACTAAGAGTTGTTTGTTTTCTAATGTTCGTTAATGTGTTCGGAGACAATCAACAAGGTGTGAAGTGCCGAGTTTAGAGGGACTTGGGTGATTTTTAGGGTTCTTTCTTGTACTTTTCTAAAAATAAAACCAAAAAAAGAACAAGAATATGTTTGTTAAAAAAAAAAAAAAAAAAACGACCTTGACTTTAAGACGATCAACAATGTCCTGGATGTCGGAGCAGGCCAGCGTCTCTCTGAAGCTCAGCTCTTTGGCAAAGTTGATTTTGGAGTTGAGTTCATGAAGCTGCTCAAGAAACTCCTGCTCCGTCACCGGACTGTCCAGGATGGTGCTGCAGCAACACAAAGCAACATAAAACACAGACTTTTCCTACCGTGGCGTTAAAGTGAAGCTTTCTTACACAAACTCCTGTTCTGACTGGCTTCTACGATTCTCAGACACTCAAAGCAAACGTCAGAAATCATTAATACTGTATTGAAGGAAATATAGTCCGTTAAGCCAAACTTTAGCCACTTATTTTACCAATAAACAACAGACAAAACAACCACAAAATAAATAACAACCAGCATTCACTACAGGTTCTTTTTTGTTCATTTGCAGGTGTTATACTTACGAGATCATGGCTCCGGGCACAACCAGCTCATCCACCAGCTGGCTGAGGTGGCTGCGAACGGCCTGCCTGTTCTTCAGACGGACGTTCATGCTGACTGACTGCTGCTGCAGGGTCTGGATCTCACTGCTAATGGAGGACAGGTCACTCTGAAAGCCGCTCAGCATGCCCTCCATGCGCTGAAGAAAGAAAAAACAACACACGTTTATTGGTTTGGATGCTACATCAACCATTCTTATTTTAAAATGCAATGAATGCGCTTTTATTTTAGGAAAATATAAAAGACTAAAACCTATAAAGTGAACCTAAACTTTTTTTTAGGTGTACATATGAAGATGTCTCTTCGTACCTCCAATATGGAGTCACAGGCAGTGATCTGGTTGTGGAGAAGAGCGATATTCTGGCTCTCTTTAATGTCTATCAGAAAAGAGATCAGGAAATCTACACAGATAATAATTTTAAGTTAATCCTGCCAGCAAAAGGTGGTTACAATTATAAAATAAAACACAAAATCATCCCTTACTGACAACACCATCATCTGACGACACACTGAGAGAATTGTTTGAGATGTTTCCAAGTTTTAGGGAGATTTGGACAAAAGAAGAAGCAATACCCGAGGGGAAAAAATTAACAAGTAAAGTTTTAATTAGCTGGTAAATATCTATACAGTATATAAACAAAACAAAACAAAAAATTATATTTTCTGATGTGCCTATAAAATCAGATGCAAATGTGTTACATGTTGACTTTTCTCCCCTCAAGTAACATTAATCATAATTGAAAGAACAATCACATAAAGAATTCGAACCCTGAGATATTTAAAATGTGAGCTGAAAAGGATACAGTCTTTGATAGAAGCCTGTTCAATCTTCTGCAGCTCTGCTTCCACCTGCTTGGAATACTGACGAAGGTCAACGCCCTGAAAACAGACGGAACGTCACAAAGGTGGAACAGTTTTTACCAAGCCGAGTTCCCAATCTCCTGATTTGTATAAAAGCATACAAAAAAAAAAAAAAAAATCTAAATTTAGATACAACTGGAAACTCATCTGAAATAAAGTAACAAAAATGTGATCAAATTAAATTTGTACTTTGGTTTGATGCTTCCACATTCTACAGTGTAAAAAAAAAATAGTAAAAACATGTAGGCGTGTCCAAACTTTTAACTGTTGTACATTTGCGAAACATTATTAATGCAGTGAGTGTCATGATTGTTTTTACTGTTTTGAGTGCCTCCTTCACAAGATCATCTTCCAGATTGGCCTGAATATGATCTGTAAATGGGAAAAACAAAATCATTTACAAAAGAAATATTGCAGAGACGTCACACCTGACCCTCTAAAACAAACAAACTCTTGGCAGATAAAACTTATTTTACATTTATACAAGAGGTTGTATCCACTTGGGCAGCACCTTAAACATGTATTGTGATATCGTATATATAAATAACCGTCTCCTTACTGTCCACTTCATCTAAGATAAATTCATCAGTGGTGATGTCAAGTTCTCCCAGGTTGAGGTTAGTAATGTCTTCAGTCTTCTAGAGGAAAACACACACAATTAGATAAACATCTCTTAGAAAAGTCCAAGTGGTGGTCTATCTTGTTCAGAGTTACAGTCTAGAACTGTGCATATATGGGGCATACCTATCTAGTTCAGTTTTCATTCCACTAATTCTAATTCCCTTTATATGTGAACTACATTCACTTGTTACTGTAGGTGTGCTGTTGCATGTTAACTTGCTCTTCTTCAGCTCTCACTGGATTTGAAATCATCTCAGCTGTGGTTGGTTTTGATGAAGCACTACCATTATATTAATTCTTACTAATCCTGATCCTCACTCTCTAATATCAAACGCATTTGTGTCAATAAAACAAGTACCAGTTTGTTGTAGCTGTTCTTACTGACTGTTTTTTTAATGCTTATATAATAAGTGTGTCAAAGAAATCTTGGTGAAAATCAGGATCGTGTCTCCACTATACCAGTTGTTAACAACACGTTATGTATTTTGTCCATCTGTTCATTTTCCAGTTAATGTTTATTGTTATTAAAAAATAAACTATTGTGTCATATCATATCATAAACTATGAATGCTGGAATTGTTTTATCTATGCGATTCTATTTCAGTTTTAGTCTTACATTGTGCTAAAATGACAAGTCAGATGAGTGCCGACTTTAGGAACGCTAACAGAAAAAAAACTTTAAAATCAGACTCGCGTCTTCACAAGAACTGTCAAATTATACATGAAATGTCACCTCGTCTTGTAGATACGCCATGGCGATTTGTGTTGGGTTTTCTGCTGTGTTTACATCAGAACCGGACCCAACAGAACCCGAAACTGCCTCAGCCATCGCGACGAATTTATGCTAGCGTAAGAAAACAATACAGCAAATCAAGAGTTCCACTTCCTGAAAAATAAACTACGGTCTTGAATTTGACCAACAAAACAACGCACTAATGTTATTTAATTTGTGTGAAATAAATCTACGGGATGAAAAAAATAATAAAACGATTTGCAACGCAACTCAATTTTGTCATATATTTACATATTTTTTGAACCAATTTTATTTTTCTTGCCGGACACATTAAAATGAAGGACCAACTTCCGTTTGCAACCGGACCAAAATCTCGCGAGAACGTAGCCGCTTCCTCTTTGCACGGAACCTGCTTCCAAGATGGTGAGTACGAGTTTTACTAACCAGAAATTATTTTACAATCTACAGTCATCCTGCTTTAAACGTGTTTGTTTGTTATTTTTGAGGACATGATAAATTGCGTCCGGCTAATGTACATTGAAATATGTTAAAATGATTTTGCGATAAGGATTAATTATGACATTTTAACGTCAACGCTAGTAAGCTGTTGAAGCCTAGTTTCAAGTTAATGTCGCTAACGCTCATGCCATTTATAATTTTATGTTTATTACAAAAACATAAATACATACAGGGTGGATCTGTTAAAGCTGCTGTATTTTCTACATCTATTCACTCCGTTACACTTCAATATTGTGTACGTGTATTCAAAGCTAAAGGCGCCGGCTAACAATGCTAACGGAAGCTAAAACCTATTTTAGCTATAACAAAAAGTCTAATTTCTTTAATAGCCTTTAAAGTCTGACATTATAATGTTGTCTGTGGTGCTGCGTGTGTAAATATTCAGTTTGTATGCTTATTTAGTAAAATAGTGGTCAGGACAGCATGTATTTCTGCAAATGCTTTCATGGTTTTAGCCTTTGGCCATTCTTGATGGTGTTTATTCTGATGTTTACAGTCTCTGGTCATCCCTGAGAAGTTCCAGCACATTCTTCGTGTTCTCAACACGAACATCGATGGCAGGAGGAAGATCGCTTTCGCCATCACTGCCATTAAGGTACATGTATTGGCATTCAGATTGTTGTGATGGTTTAACTTTAAAGAAGCCTGTTTAAAGTCACTAATATAGATTTGGCCCAAATAAAGGGTGGTTCATTTTAATCTTGTGCTGCTTTTGCCTTTAGTAAACCATGCTGTCTGATTCATAGGGTGTTGGCAGACGTTACGCTCATGTCGTCCTGAGGAAGGCTGACATTGACCTCAACAAGAGAGCTGGAGAGCTGACTGAGGAGGAGGTAAGGACTAGGAAAGCTGCAATATAATGTCTTAGTTGCTATTTTTTGTCCGAATCAATCGGTTGGATGAAAGGCAGTATGATAGTACTTGATCGTGACGTTAATGTAGGTTATAAAGTGAACTGTATTGGTGCTGTGATTGTTTGTGACAAAGTGACTTCACTCACAAACAAGAATGGGTTGTTTACAGTTTTGTTGTAAAATGGAAGTTGCTTTTTTTGCAGTAACGTTTACAATACACTGCTTAGGTGCTTGGCTAACATAGGTGACCAGGTTGCAGCACCAGTACATTTTAGGTACTGTAGTGGTTTGTTGCCTTAGAGCCATGGATTTATGTGCTGAAAGTGGAATGATCACAAGAACGCTTAAACTTTCTGCTGCAGTTAAAATGATCTGTGTAGCGTCTAGCTTTCCTAAGTAGTAATTGAGATGGTTTTCTTGCACATCACAACAGAGCTGTTTTTTTAGTTTTACAAGTGGAAAAACTTTACCAAGAAGATTCTCCATAGTTGTAAAATAATTAGACACATTGTGTTTTAAAACATTAAAATCTTATGTTGTACATTTTCAATTGGCTTGTAAATAAACGATGTATATAATATATGCGTGTTTTGTTAGTCGACGCTTCAACAAACAAAAAACGTCCAATACTGTAAGTTTAAAAAGAGGGAGCTGAGATGGGGTAGATGTAGGGAAGCTGACTTGGGACCAGAAAATTGTGGTTTGACTCCATCATTCCCACGTCGTGGTGTTTCTGAGCAAGACGCCTAATCCCTAATTGTCCCCGGGCGCTTGCATAGCTGCCCACTGCTCCACCTGGGTGTATCACGTGATGGTTAATGCAGAAAACTAATTTCGCCATTATATGGGAACTAACAATGATGACAATCTCAGACTTCCCTTAATGTCAAAACAAAATGCTCAGGTTTGTTGGACTTTTTTTTTTTTGGGGGGGGGGGGGGGGCATATTTTGTCATTTCATTACAAAATATGTTCAGCAGAAAAACAAGGATGGAAGCTTTGATTGGTAAAATATTTCTAACTTGAGATTGTAAGATTCTAATCTTGTTGGTGGAAAAAACAAGAACTAGCAGTTTTGTCTGAGCTAGAAAGCTTTTTTTTTTTTTTTTTTTTTTTTTTTTTCTAAAAGGACAAAATGAACTGAGTGAAAGGTTTAATAGTTGTTGGTCCTTAAAGAGAAGTTGGGCTAGATGTTTTTCGCTTTCTCTAATGCTCAAAGGGAATGTGAACCGGCATTTTGAGAAATAAGCAGTTTTTCCTCGACGGTCTATTTTTGTGTGCACGCGGAGGTTTTCTCACCGAAGCGTCACATTTTACTGACTCTTTACTTTTTCCAGGTTGAGCGGGTGGTGACCATCATGCAGAACCCTCGCCAGTACAAAATCCCAGACTGGTTCCTCAACAGGCAAAAGGATGTAAAGGATGGCAAATACAGCCAGGTAAGAGACGGTAACACTAATGAAGTTATCCTCCAATCCTCAGTCATTTTTACTCCCAAATCACAGCAGGCTCTGTTGAATGACGAATGTTTCCATCGTTGATTTGTCGTTCAGGTCCTCGCTAACAATCTGGATAACAAGCTGAGAGAAGATCTGGAGAGGCTGAAAAAGATCAGGGCTCACCGTGGTCTTAGACACTTCTGGGGGTAAGATCTGATGATGTCTTAGGTTTGAAAAGAGTTTGTCCTGTTTAAAAAACAAAAGGACAAACGTCAGCTCTGGGTCACTAGTAGCAGCACTCCCAGTCACACAGATCTGGCGTGTTGGTACTGATACATAAAATGATTGTCTCTGACAGCTCAGATCGAACTGTTTCAATGAAAAGCTTAATCTTTAAAAGGATTTTAAGTTGAGCTTGATACAAAAAGATGTCTAAAAACTTGAAGGATGAACAGAGGAGATGGTGCAGAGAGCCCGTCCTGGGAAAAACTTGAATTGCTGATGAGTTTGAATTTATTTATGCACCTTACTCGATGCATGCAGTTCACGTAAAGCTGACTGGACAATGAAGCTGTTTATCATAAGTTCTTAAAGCAGAGCTTTTTCTAAATGTAAAAATTAATGCTTTGCATTGTGTGCAAGGAGGTGCTGCATTAAAAATACTTCTTTTGATAATTTCTGAAAAAGCATTTTAAATACCTGGCAGCATTATGTTCAAGTTAAAATTATAAATTTGTAAAAAAAAAATGTTTGTTTTTCTTCCCCCAGTCTGCGTGTGCGTGGTCAGCACACAAAGACCACCGGTCGTCGTGGTCGCACTGTTGGTGTGTCCAAGAAGAAGTAAACCCACCTCCCCGTGTTCCAATAAAACCAGTTCATAAAAAATTACTTCCTGTGTTGTGTTTTAATTAAAGGGACAATTAAGAAATGTGAATTGATTTTTTTTTTTTAACTAGCAAAGTAAAAAAAAAATATATAGCAGGAGTGTATGAAAGGTAGAAGTATACAAATATTACCAGCATTTATTAAAAATCGGTTTATTTAGATTAAGGTACATTTTCATAAAGTACTAATATTGCATTCTTATACACATTCCCTAGACTGAAAGAAATAAAATGGTAGCAGGGAATATATAAAGTGCAAAAGAACAGAAGCTAAGAGCTGAAACTGATTAAACCTTTAAGGCTTATGGCTTTTTCTTTTTTTAAGCAAAAATTCATGCAAGTTTAGAAAAGTATGTTAATGGGGAAAAATCATTTAGCAATAATTTCACTTAACATTTCCAACTATATTGCTAGGAAAATAAACAATGCATCTACATTTAAAATGAATGGAAAAACTGCACTAGCCTTTTTTTTTTTTTTTTTTTAAATGCTGAAAATTTCCTTTGCATCTGGTGTCAAAGAAAAATTTCTTATTTACAGAAAAAAAAATCTTAACACGTCTGCTCTGTAATATAAATTGTACATCTAAACTCGTATCAAGTGATTTTTATGTTACTGTCCCAAAAATAAGCCTGAGAACTCTTGAGTCTGCACAATTCATTATATTCAGCAAGATCAAATCACACGAAGCACAAAAGTTTCTCAAATGGTGCATAAAAACTCCTGAAGTTGCGGCAAAAGAGCAAAATAAACTTGAAAGGTCAAAATACTTTTTTTTTTTTTTTTTTTCTAGTAAAGGATATAATCACAAATGCATTAGAATCAAAATGAAATATGGAAAACACCCATAAAACATGATACAAAGGAGTTGAGCATTTTAGTTGGAACTAAAACCTCGTGTCAAGTCAAGTCATCTTTATTTGTAGAGCACAATTTAAAACAGATAAACTGTTATCAAAGTGCTTGGACGAGGCATCTCTAAAAATCAGAAAATACAACAAAGTCTTGAAATAAAGTCATAATTTTTATTTTATGAAGTATACCACCTTTCAGTCATGGGTATTTGTTTTATCCACTCCTAATAAATTCTTTTAATTCAGAACAAATGTCTCCACAAAAAAAGCACAAAGTATAATTTAATGTTACAGTTAATAACAAACAGGCTGATGCTGTTCTTGCTGCAGCTGAGACAATGAGTATAAATAGTTGAGGTGGATTGGAGAGAAGCAGTTTGTAGCCCCCCCCTCCTCATCCCTCCTGTTGGGGAGGCAGCTGCTGCTGCTGTGGCAGCTGCTGCGCTGCTTGAGGTTGCTGCTGGTCTTTGGTGGGAGCGTAGTAGAGCTCCAAAGGCTTCCGGACCTTCCAGTATTTCTCGTTGACCAACTCCAGAGTCAGAGAACCATTGAGGGTCTGAGAGCAGAGATGGGGTAGACAAAGTTGGCTAAATAAATAAACATGTTTGTAGAAATCAAAATAATTATCGCTTTAGTGGGTCAAGTTCCCAGTTACAATTAAACCGTTGTAACAGACTGGTTTGGGGATCGGTTACATTGTTAAATAAATGGTAGCTAAAGGTAATACCGTAGATGAATGAATGAGATGGAACCAAGAAAAAACAGTTTACAAACGTTTAAACTTTTCAAATACTTCCAATTCTTATGGTAAATGTACTAGTAAACTCTTTTCTATGTAATCAAGTTACTCAAAGCACTTTACAACAGAATCTGTGCCACATTTACCTCCACACACATTCGCACCGCACTGTACTACAACTACAAAAATAATCTGAATCTAGAGACTAATCGGTGCTTTAGATCACATTCATACACCGATGGGACACAGAGACATTAAGGGGTTCAGTGTCTTGGCCAGGGACACATCATGTGACTACTGGTGGAATCAAACCCCCAACTCTCCCACTGGAGGACGACTGTTAACCGTTCATCCATTGCTGCCTCTTATCTAAAGGTAACAGGTACAAGTTGTGCTAAAGTGCTTTCATATCAACTTGTTTTTACTTTTTATATCTATTTGTTTAAGATTGTAATTTATTTTTATGAAAAACAATTTGTTTATCCAAAGCGGATTATTTAAATACAGATGATTAAAAAGTAAAAGTACTCACTGAGAACTGTCCTCCCCTCGTTGTGATGTAGATGGTGTATTGTTTCTCACTAATGTTACTCAGACTGGCCCCCTCGCTCCTCGACGCTCCTCCGGTCTCACCCCCTCCCTCTGCTCCTCCCTGTCCCCCCATTTCCTCGTCTCGTCCTCTATCCTCGGCGTCTCCGTCAGTCCGTCTGTCCTCGAGAGCGATGCGTAGCGCGAGGTATTTGGACAGGTGGTCCACCGTGGCGTTGGCCGTTGTCTTCACGTATCTGCGTAAAAATACAAATTTTAACAGACCGGGAAAGTCACGTTTAGTCGCCAATTTATTTCAAGATGTAATTGTTTATTTTATTGGACCATTTGGGATGGTAGACAAAAACAGATTAATTCATCACTTTAAGAACTATCTGTAAAAGGAAAAAAAGGACGATGTTCTCCTATAATTTGGCCGTTTCATTAAGTTTTCTGGACACTGGAATTGTGCTTCACCGTTTTCACTCCAAGTACGTCAGTCTGGACGTTGAGACATTTAATTTATAACGAGTCTGTAACAAAATCAACAGGTGCTAAACTTTCTGATAGAAAATAGTCCTTTAAAAAGTGATCTACCTGGTCTGGTTGTAGTCCTGAGCATGGACCAGCTGAGGGTGGGGTCTGAACACCAGCTCGATCTCGGAGGCCGGCCTCTCCTTGTTGCGTCTCAAAGGGGGAGTTGGGCTCCCGCTGTCCGCCTCGGGGCCCGAGCCGTCGTCGGAGGCTCGCTGCCGCTTGCGGCTCGGCCCAGCCTCTGGGGGCGTTTGACCGCTGGGGTGGGGCGTGTTGGACGGGGCTGAGTCATGGGACAGGTGTGAGCGGGAGTCGCCATTATCCTCGCCACCGCTGAAGGTGGTGTTGTCACTTTCTTGAGTGGGTTTTTTCACCCGGTGGTTCCTGCAGGGAGAACGTAAAGACACACAGGAGACCTATTTTAAAGAACATCTTTTATTTTCCTAACACGAAGCTTACTGTAACTAATGAAGAGCAGGTTTGGTCTCTGCTTCTTATATTGTACAAGAAGGATGAACGTTTGCAGTGGACTGAAAAACATTGCATTTTAATTATGGCACAACAAAAACACTAGTGGGCACCAGAACACTGATGTGCCTCACGTGAGTGACACAAAACTAAATGTAGATCAATAACTTTAATTTTAAATGACAGTGTCCAACAATTATTATTATTATTTTTTAATCTTAGTTCCTAATAAACCTATAAACTCAATCATTAATCAAAAAGAAACAACATAATTATGAGCTGTTAACTATTAGAATATTAAAGGGATAATTGGTTTTGTTTATCCGTTTATATTCACCCCGCTTTCAATTTTGATAATTTATTAAAATCAGGACAAATAATCTAAACTTGCACTGTCATAAAAATATATAATTTTAATAAGAATATTTTTCTCCCTGGATTAATAGAACTTTATCTGTTGCTACACTGGGTTATTTAGAATTAGAATATAAGATTTCTTTAAAAAAAAAAAAAAATAAGGCAATTTTGCGGTTTAATTTAAAAGACAAGTAAAAACCTGTGGATTTCATTTAATATGCAGCTCATTTAGTGAAGTCAGTAAATAATAAGGGGTAACTTCAATGGACTTATTATTGGAAAAGGGATTTTAAATTACTTATGTAAATAACGTATTTTTCAGACTATAAGTTGCACTTAAAATCCTTTAGTTTTCTCAAAAATCAACAATGAGCCTTATAATCCAGTGCACCTTATGCATTAAATGTGGTTGTGCTTACTGACCTGGAACTGCTTTGATGTGGTGCACGGCGCTCAAAAATCTGTCAAAATGTTTTAGTTTCGCTTAATGCGCCTTATAGTCCGAAAAATACGGTATATATTAAAATTACTGGCCAAGGCCAGTGTTTAAAATATCCCAAATGGCACTTTATTTAATTTACTAGTCACAAGTAGTCAAAGCTACAAAGGGATGGTGTTGTCATGCACATCTCCACAACCTCTCGGACCTGTAGCGGGCCTGCTGGCGGAGCCCCTCCTCGATGCTGGAGCTCAGAGCTTCCTTGTTGTGCAACCTGTTGAGACGCTCCAGGACGCTGCGCTGATGAGCCTCGTACTCGTCACGACTCGGGTAGATCTTAGAGATGAGCGCGTCGAAGTTCGAGTCTCTGCGCAGCGAACGTCTGGAGACCAACTTCTTCCTGCAGGTGGGGCATTCTTTGTTCCTGGGGGTGGGGGCACAGTGAAGAATCAGACTTTTAAATACTGTATGTAGTAACGGTAAAGATATAAACAAAAAGTGATAGTAGATAGTTATTTTTTACACGAGATTTCTATAACAAAGCGTTTAATAAAAACGTAGGGGCTAACTGGCATGATCCATGAAATGAAAGATGCAGCGCGTTTACCCGGAGCGCAGCGCGGTGACGATGCAGTCAGAACAAAAGCGGTGCAGACACTCTTTGGTTGTCATCGTGTTCTTCAGCATGTCTAGACAGATGGGACACATCAGCTCGCTGTGCAGCGAGCGAGGAGACACCGCCACCTCAGTCCCGTCTACGATGGCCTCCTGGACACAAGAAATTATCCGACATGTGACAATTAAAGATTTTGTTTTTGGTAGCAGCTATTTTTTTTTTTTTTTTTAATGGCAGGCAGTTTTCTAAATAATATTACACTGTTTGGAAATGTTATTCACTTAGTTATAACTCTAACCCTGAATTAATTAGGGATTAGAGGTTTTGCAAACCTATTTTTGGCCTGTTAGAAAAGTTTTTTATTTTATTGTATTACCATTAATCCCCAATGGGAAATTAAATCTCTGCATTTTTCCCATTACACATGTGAAGCAGAGGGCTGCCATCTGTGGGGTACGGGCCTTGCTCATGGGCCCAGAGCGGTGCAAATGAGGGTGGAGGCAGGTGTTTCACCTTTTCCACCCATATTTTTTTTATGTTGGTGTATTATGAAATTCTTTATCAAAAGGGCTCGTGAAACGGTCGGCACATATTCAGACAAATGGAAAAAATGAAAGACTGAAGCTGTTACTGCTAGGATAAATTAGTGTCCTTTATTATCCTGCCACAGAAAAACAGCCAAGCAAAAAACAAACATGTACACTCTTAACACACAGATTGATATGAAATAACTTCTCACCGTGACACTGGCCGGGAAGTCGTTTTCGACCCAGGTAAAGGAGAATCACATCAAAATGGCGTATGGCACCAGCGCGCGTCTGATCCATCACAGGACTTCCCAAGATTAAGTTGCCTGTCACACTTCCTTTATACCTTCCCTGACCGGATCGCGTGAGAGCATTCAAAACAAGTTTGATGGTTACCAGAACAACGGATGAGGAGCTGGTGATTTATTACAAATAAGGAGCACGGTGACCTCACGGCGGGCCAAGACCTTGAAGTTAGCAATACTCCTTAAACTTCCTAAAGAGGAAATACGCACTCCTCCATCCCTCTGCAAACCATCAAAGAATGTCCCAAATATTAACAAAGGCAACATAAATCATTCCCCCCTTTGTCTCTGTGACATGTTAAACAAAGTACAATCCCTAATATGTGAATAACACGTTGTATAAGTGTGTTTAAATAAGTGTAATATAGGTCTAGATTGACATAAAAGCATTAAAATAATAATCTCTATATCAGTTGGCCGTCCGGGAGTTGACTGGCGACCCTCCGATCACAGGCCCACCCTCTCTAACCTCTGCGCCACCACTCCCCCTTCTTGTGCTTTTATCACCGAGTCATGATGGTTATTTAAATTCTCTTCACAGTTCTGAAAATGTTCAACAGTTTTAAGATTGAACATAAAAAAATAATAAAAACAGGATAAACAACTCCAAACTTTACACCGTGATGTAAAGTTACTTCATGTTGTGTTACATCATTGATTATGCAAAGCTAGGCTACGCTACCTTAGATAAATAATGTTACTAACTGGATTTTTATGTATATGGATGTTTCTGTTCAGTGCCCTGAGATGATTTCTGTTGTGACTTGGTGCTTTATTAATAAACTGAATTGATGTTGGGTCCTATTTTTTTTGTTTATTTTTTAAAATTTAATCGTTTGAAGCTATTTAAAAAAAAATCTTTGCCAATGTGTAAATAATCAGTAGTTTTCTTTCTGACGGTTTCAGCTTGTGTCACAATCTTTGCCACGACTGTTTAAAACAAACCCCATTTCTAACTTGAAGGCCGAAGTTTGAAAAATTCAACCCAGTAAGACCAGAAAATAATTCTGCACGTTTTTCTTTTCAGACCTGGAGTAGCTCTTAGTAGCCTTTACTTTTCAAACATGACGCAATGCTCGCATGGTTTCAGGTTTGTCATTTGAGTTTTTAGGAGATTTTGTTTGGAACTTACCTGTGGGCTCCTGTGCAGCTCGTAGAGACTCAGCTCCCAGGTCTTACTGGGAGTCTGGATATTTACCGGAGCTGCCATGGCTGCTGCTTCCTACAAACACTGCACTGAAAAAGACAAATAGCAGTAGGACACAATTTAATATGCATGGTTACAATATGTTTAACAAACATCCAATTATGAAGTCGTGTTCAATTTTGCACTGTACAATTTTGAACGACAGCAAAGTTTACAAAGTTATTATTAATATTCCTCCTGTAAGAAGTATGAAAAAAAATCCTACTTAATGCATTCTAAAGTAATTTATAGAGATAATGTGGTATTTGAATGTTGCCATGTCAGAACCATTAGGTTTTGATACAACTTTATTTATAAAGCACTTTAAAAACAACACTGTCGGCCAAAGTGCTGTAACATACAAAACTATAAAATCAACTGAAACCGTAAAAGTAACGACCTGTCAAAATCATAAAAACAGCAAACGGTAAAAGCAATAAAACAAACAATTTAAAAACAGTAAAACCAACATTTTAAGCCGAGTTAAAAGCCAAAGAGAAAAAAAAAAGTGTTTTCAAAGATTTAAAAACATGAAGTGACTCAGTTTGTCTGACGTGTAAAGATAACTCGTTCCACAGTACAGCGACTAAGAACGCTCGGCCACCTCTTCAGCCTCCTGTTAGACTTTGGAACGATCAGCAGCAGCTGATCTGCTGATCTGAGAGAGCGTGAGGGAATGTACGGCTGGAGCAGGTCGGACAGAGACTGTGGGGCGAGACCATGAAGACATTTGAAAGCAAATAAAAGAACATTCAAATTAATCCGGAAACAAACTGGGAGCCAGTGTAGTGACTCTAAAACAGGGTGATGTGCTCTTGTTTTCTGGTACCAGTTAAAAGGCGGGCAGCAGCATTCTGAACCAGCTGAAGTCGAGTCAGTAGTGACTGGCTCAGACCGACATTACTGTAGTCCAGACGAGTTGTAATGAAAGCAACATCTCAAAATGATGTGAGAGAAATGGTTTGACCGTGGCCAGTTGTCTCAAATGATAAAAGCTGGACTGGATCACCAATTGCATCTAGTTTAAAACCATCGTCCAGCCTCACACCCCAGTTAGTTGTTGAATCAGATGTTGTGTTAAAGGACACAGATCAGCATGGACTTTGGAACCATCGCTTAAAACGAGACCTCAGTCTTTTCCTCATTAAAATGTAAAAAGTTATGTGACATCCATGCTCTGACTTCTGCCGTACGATTGACGCAGTATACAATCATTTTAGAGTGAATGTAAAAAAAACACATTGTGTGTTTGAGTTGTGACAAATCACCACACTCACAGGTGGAGGACAAATAAGCAATACACAATTTATTATATAGTTTTTTCAAATTATTTATTGCCCCGTGTTCATTCAACCTTTATTTATACAAGTTTGCTCCCTTTGAGCCTTGAGGACTCATTTACAACAGAGACCTGCGTGTATCTCAGGATTGTGCGCACGTGGGTGTGTGTGCGTCGGTTTTGGGGGTGGGCGTGAGCGAGATGAACGTGTATGTGGGTGGCTGCTTTTTCATTATAGTTTTTATTAAATCCCAGTGAGAAATGTCTAATTTTATCTTGATTTACGCAAAGCTAAAATTACAATAAAGGTTGATTTGATTCAAAACCTGAATAAATCGTATGGTTATGATGAAGGCACCTTTTATTGTTGTAGTATTTTCAAGAAGGTATGAGCAATGTTTAATCACAAATTTAAACTTTAAAATACTGTACTGCATAAATTATCTCAACCTGGAGACAGCTCCGAGCCTGACTGATATATTGTTTGATATCAGTCTAATATTATCGATATACAGTATTATCGATATACAGTATTAACGATATACAGTATTATCAATATACGGTATTATCGATATACAGTATTAACGATATACAGTATTATCGATATACAGCATTATCGATATACGGTATTATCGATATACGGTATTATCGATATACGGTATTAACAATATGCGGTATTAACGATATACGGTATTAACGATATGCGGTATTAACGATATGCGGTGTTATCGATATACAGCATTAACGATATGCAGTATTAACGATATGCAATATTATCGATATACATCATTATCGATATACAGTATTATCGATATACAGTATTAATGATATGCGGTATTAACGATATGCGGTATTAACGATATGCGGTATTAACGATATGCGGTATTA